TATATATAATTTTGGACTATTTAGTTAGTATTTTATTTGGGCTTGTATTATGTTTTGGGTTTGCCCAAGCCTTTTATTTTGTTTTTGGGTTTGTATCATGTATTGGGCTGGTCCAAGCCCTTTTATGCTTTGTATTGTATAAAGGTATGCAGCCTTCTATGCATGGGGGCAAATTTGATGGCTGAATGAAATGAATTGAGTGTTGCAGACTTCCACCGTCCTCTCTTTTCTCCTTCTCCTCCTACTTCTTCATCTTTCCTCCCTGGTTTCTACTTCCCCTCTCCTCCTATGTGACTGGTTCTGTGTTTGTGTTTATCTAATCCTACATCAACTTGGTATTAGAGCTAAACCTGGATTCCATCATCAATCTGCATCCCATAACACTTACATCTCCCAAATACTTCATCTACACACAGTTTCTATTTACTCAACCTAGCTGCTACAACTTCATAGCATCAACCATCACCCAGCAGCCCAACAATACAGTAGCCAGCACCCATATATGCTTAGCCAATTACACCTAACACTGTCTCCTCCGGCTACTATCAATAGTTAACAGCCAACCCTTCATTGACAATCCAGACATCCAGTAAACCCAAACACCCAGCCATAAGCCATTCTACCGTCACTGTCCAGCGACAAGCCAACTACCAATAACAGACACACCACAACACCCACTCACAAAATCATCGTACACAATTAATCGATCCATATAACTAGGCAACCAGTCACCCCTATCATATAATCTTCCTAACCCAGTCACAGTTTTCATCAACCCACAAATTAAGATTGAAACACCCATATATACATATACTCGGCTACCATCGCAAATACACCATCATCACTCGACACAAAAAAGAAAAAGGGGCTACAGATGCAACAAGCAATCTTCGCACCTTCCCTGAACAACCGAAACCTAAGCTGCAAGTTAACCCACCTAATGAACACCACCTCCACTCATGACCACTAGGGACGCCGACCACCAGCTACCCTCATAGTACCGTCACCCGTCACAGCCAACGCAAATTCCATCGCCAACCCTCGATTTCCCATTTTGTTTGCGTGAATCCCTAATTTTACTTTGGGCTTGGTGTTAGCTGGGTAATGTATTAGCCCCTATTTGATGCCCATTACCTGAAAATTAAAATGGGGGAAATAGTATTTTTTAGAAAAATGAGTGGTTGAAAAAGAAGGAAAAGTTTTTGATTTATGTGTAATATTATTTTATGGAAGATTGTATGATCGAAAATAGGAGAGAGAAAAATTGAATGTAATGTAATGTAATGTAATTTAATTTAATGGGGATTAAACAGGGGCTTAATATTGGGCCTTAGTTGTATTTGGGCTGTGTTAATGTTGGGCCATGTGTTATTATGGCAGTGTATGTTTTGAGCCTCTATTAGTATTTGGGCCTTGATTTGTAACCGGTTTACTTATTTGATTTTTTAAGTTAAAAAAAGAAAAGAAAAGCGAAAAAAAGTTGTATTTTCTAACATTTTTTTGTAGGTACCTCTTATTTTTCTGTTGATCGACCCAGTTACTTTAGCGAACAAAAAAAGGGAAGTTACTATTTTTATCTATATTTGGTTATATATTATTGTTAATTTAAAATCGCATCAATTAATTTTCTGTTATGATATTACATTACTTTGCCTGAAATTACATGATTGAACCCTTGTTAAACCCCACTTTTATGTCACTTATTTTACGTGATTAGATTTTGACTGGTAATTTGACCCTCGCTTTGTTAGTTTACATTTATTAGCAGTATTAGCTTGCCATATTTGGACTACTTAATCCCAAACCTTTAGTTTAAATGCTCAAGTTGCCATTTTTCGTTACTTGCACTTGTTGTTCATTGACCTCTCCATCGCAAGTCATTTAGCTAGTATTACATTGCATGCAGTTACGTAGTGTTCGTCTAGTCACACCTAGTTCTAGTACATTCACCATGGACCCCTCACAATTTGATGTACTCACTAGACAATTAGCTCAGCTTGTCACTAGCCAGCAACATTTACAGACTCAAATAGCAGCTATCCAAACCGAGATGGCTACTACTCGTGAAGAGAGTAGAGACCTAGCTGCTAGGTTGGACAGTTTTGAACAAACCCCTCTTTCTATTGACGCTGATAACTCTGAAGCGTCTCATAATGTTCACTATTATCGTCGATCGGGTGGTCGACAACATCCTCGACGTTATCAAAGGAATAGAGATCTGGGCCGTGAGCAAGAATGGGGCCATGGCCATCGCGATAATCATTCTCCTCCATGCCATGATGAGTGTTACTTTAGAAACATCAAATTAGACGCTCCTACTTTTGATGGTTGATTAGATCTTATAGTTTTTACTCAGTGGATTAGAGACATGGATTGTTTCTTGGCATGGTATGGAGTCCCAGAGGATTGACGTGTCCAATTTGCTAGTCTGAAATTAACTGGCACTGCCCAACTCTTCTAGGAAAGTGTTGAAGATCTTCTTAAGAGGCATTGTGCATCTCCAGTTGGAAGTTGGGAAGAAATGAAGCATCGCCTTCAAGAAAAGTATTTGCCCCAATCTTACAGGGGCAACTTGTTGGACCAATGGAATACCCTTACACAGGGAAATCGACCAGTGACTGACTATGTTACTCAATTTGATAAATTTAGAATGCGATTTCATGTCGTTGAGGATGAGGCAATGACTTTGAGTATGTTTATAAACAGGGCCTAAAAGATGATCTTAGGCGTGAGCTTATACTTCGAAGTGTCACTACCCTTGATCATGCTTATTCTTTAGTCCAAGATTATAAGTTGGTCACTAAGATTCCATATGGAAAGCGTGTTGACAATCGTCCTTCCGTCTCATCCATGCCACCTCAGCCTGTTAAGTCTTTCCTAGAGCCTCTCCCATCTAATGTCCCCCCTGTGTTGGAAAATAAGGATAAAGCTCCTAAAATTCCAAAAAGTTCTTCTCGGCTTCACTGCTTCAATTGTCAAGACTTTGGTCATATTGCATCTAGATGTCCGAGTCGAGCTTTAGTCATTGAGGAACGAAAAGATGTAGAAGGTGAGTCATTAGAAGATCAAGTCTATGAACCTAAGTTTGAAGAGTTTGACGATTTGGATGATATTGATGATACCTTGTTAGGTTGCATCCGAACCTTCCCTATAGATCTAGATTCTGTGACCTCTGTCCTCGACACCTCGCGGCTAAATGTTGTACATTGTACCCTCACTCACCCTAAAGATGCTGATGACTGACGTCGTCACGCCATTTTTCACACTTATATCAAGATCAATAACAAGGGTTGTAAAATTATTGTGGATAGTGGTAGCTGCATTAATGCAGTTTCTGCGGCTACAGTGTCCCGTCTTGGGTTACAGCCAGTCCCACACCCTTAACCTTATAGCTTCACTTAGGTTAACACTTCTTCTATTGCCGTAAACGAGCATTGTTTGGTTCCTATCCAGTTTCTTGAATACAAAGATCATAATGGTGGGACGTCATTCCCATGGACGTTAGACACATCATTCTTGGTCGACCTTGGTTGTTCGATTTAGATGTCACTATCTATGGTCGATCAAATTCATGTTCCTTTGTGTTCAATGGGAAGAAGATTCACCTTAATCCTTTACTGCCAAAACTTGTTGACTCACAACATACCAAGAAAATTGTGGAACGGAAAGGGTTACATATGATTAGCCCTACCGAATTTGAGCGTACACTCAAAGAGGATTCTGTTGTGTTTGTCGCGATCGTGATGGAAGTTCCATCGGAATCTCCAATATTGACCCATGATGAGATCCAATCAGTTCTTCAAGAGTTTCAAGTTGTCTTTTCTGAAGACCTCCCTGATCTATTGCCCCCTTTACGGGACATTCAACATGCTATAGATCTTATCCCTAGATCGTCTCTTCCAAATTTACCTCATTATAGAATGAATCCTACTGAGTATGCTGAGCTTTAGAGGCAAATAGAGGAGCTCCTTCACAAAGGATTTATTCGTGAGAGTTCCTTGTGCGGTTCCCGCCCTTTTGACTCCTAAGAAAGATGGTTCTTGGAGAATGTGTGTTGATAGTCGTGCCATCAATAAGATCATAGTGAAGTACAATTTTCCAATCCCTAGGCTTGATAATATGTTGCACATGATGGTCGGTGCCACCCTATTTTCTAAGATTGATTTAAAGAGTGGGTACCACCAAATTAGAATTCGCCCGGGTGACAAATGGAAGACTACCTTTAAAATGAAGGATGGTATTCATGAGTGGTTGATCATGCCTTTTGGGCTAACCAACACCACGAGTATTTTATGAGAGTAATGACACAAGCTTTGCGACCATTCATGGATAAATTCCTCGTTGTCTACTTTGATGACATTCTCGTGTACAGTAAAACTAGGGAACAACATAGAAATCATCTTATGCAGGTTTGTTCTACCCTTCGCACTACAAGCATGTATGCTGATGTGAAGAAATGTTCTTTCTTCACAGATAAAGTTGTATTTCTAGGTTTTATTATCTCCGCGATAGGAGTGTCTGCTGACCCTGCAAAGATTCAGGCCATTGTTGGTTGGCCTGAGCCCAAGACTATACATGACGTTCGGAGTTTTCATGGTTTAGCTACCTTTTACTATCGTTTCATTAAAGGGTTTAGCATGATCATGGCTCCTATTATAAAGTGCATGAAAAGAGGGAATTTTATTGGTCGCACGAAGTGGCCAAAGCATTTAAGTTGGTTAAGAGAAGAATGATAGAAGCTCCAGTCATGCGACTTCCTGATTTTTCCAAAGTTTTTGAGGTAGAATGTGATGCCCAGAGGTAGGGATAGGTGGAGTTTTGAGCCAAGAGCTCCACCCTATTGCTTATTTCAGCGAGAATTAAATGATGCCAAACGACGGTACTCGACATATGACAAGTAGTTGTATGCAGTCGTACAAGCTTTACGCTATTGGCATCATTACTTGTTGCCCCAAGAATTTGTTTTTTATTCGGATCATGAGGCACTTCGCTACCTTAATTCCCAAAAGAGGTTGAATGCTAGGCATTCCTTGGATCGAGTATTTACAGGCCTACTCTTTTGTTTTTAAGCATAAAAAGGGCAGTGAAAATCAAGCAGCGAATGCTTTAAGCCGCCGCAATTCACTTTTAACCAATATGAGTGTCAGGGTCATAGGTTTTAGACGACTCAAAGAAGATTATGAGTCATGTCCCGATTTCAAGGATATTTTCCTTGCGTTACAAAGTGGACAATTGGATGCTACTGATGGTTTTCGTCTAGAGGATGGTTATCTTTTTAGGTCCAATAAATTGTGCATCCCTCGAACTTCAGTACAAGACTTTATAGTTTGGGAAAGTCATGCAGGAGGCCTGGCTGGGCATTTTGGATGTGATAAGACAATTGAAGAAGTTGAACGTCAATTTTATTGGTCTCGTTTGAAGACAGATGTAACTAAGATTGTTAGTGATTGCAACACCTGTCAGTTGGCCAAACAGAAGAGACAAAACACTGGTCTTTACACACCTCTTCCTGTCCCTAGTTGTCCTTGGCAAGACCTCAGTATGGATTTTGTACTAGGACTACCACGTACTCCAAAGAAACATGATTATATTTTTGTTATAGTGGATCGTTTCTCGAAAATGACCCACTTTATCCCTTGCAGCAAGACTTCAGATGCATCTAAGGTTGCTAGGCTGTACTTTAATGAGATTGTTAAATTGTATGGCCTTCCTAAGACCATTGTGTTGGATAGGGATGTTCGGTTCACTAGCCACTTCTGGAGAACCTTATGGCATATGGTTGACACTAAGTTGAAATTTTCCACTGCATATCATCCTCAGACCGATGGTCAAACTGAAGCTGTTAATCGTAGTCTTGGTAACCTATTAAGATGTCTAAGTCAGGAAAATCTGAGGAACTGGGATTTAATCCTCTCGATAGCCCAAATTGCATATAACAGTTTTGTGAATTGGTCTTTAGGCATGAGTCCTTTTGAAGTTGTTCATGGTTATAAACCTAGGAAGCCTTTAGACCTTATCCCTATGTCCCCACGTGCTAATGTGTCTGTGTCAGCTGAGGCATTTGTACAACATCTTCAGGACTTGCATATTGAGATCAATAAAAAACTAGAGGTAAGTAATGCATCATATAAACTTTGAGCTGATTTGCATAAACGACATGTTGAATTTAAAATTGGGGATTATGTGATGATCCGAATTAGATCGGAACGACATCTATCTGGATCCGCTTCCAAATTGCAAGCCCATAGCACTGGTTCTTTTAAAATCTTAAAGCGTGTTGGTCCAAATGCGTATGTCATTGATCTTACATCACATTTTGGCTACCACTCTACTTTCAATGTTGAGGATTTAGTTGCTTATAAAGACCATTTTAGGCCCTCTAATGACCCTTTTCTACCCCCATCTGTTGACTTTCAACCTGAACCTATCACTACCCCTACTTCAAAACCCCCTGTCACAATACCCAAAGATAAGATGCTATTTTAGATGAACAGATTATGTTGACCAATGATGGAGAAATTCAGCGCTTTCTTGTTCGTTGGGTTGGACGACCTAACTCTGATTGCACATGGATCCCTAGAGAGACACTCCAACAGTTTTATTCTAACTTGTTGGAGCTTTATAGGAGTCAACATGATCTTCCATTGGCCAGACCACCTATCACATGCATATATGGACATCGGAAGAGGTTTGTCCAACCACTCAGCTTATGGTTGGGCAACTGACTATAGCCTTTTATGAGTTATTCCCTCGACAGAGTCAAGTTTTTCTCTCACCTCGGGAGAGTTGATGAGGACATCTAGTTTAAACTATTTAGTTAGTATTTTATTTGGGCTTACATTATGTTTTGGGCTTGTCCAAGCCTTTTATTTTCTTTTTGGGCTTGTATCAGGTATTGGGCAGGCCCAAGCCCTTTTATACTTTGTATTGTTTAAAGGTATGCAACCTTCTATGCATGAGGACAGATTTGATGGATGAATGAAATGAATTGAGTGTTGCAGACTTCCACCACCCTTTCTTTTCTCCTTCTCCTCATACTTCTTCATCTCTTCTCCCTGGTTCCTACTTTCCCCTCTCCTCCTATATGACTGGTTTTGTGTTTGTGTTTATCTAATCCTACATCACACACCTTTCTCAAATCTGACCTTTTTTTATATGGAGATCGTCACATCTGTCTTCTGTTAATATTTTGTTGTTGTTTACCATGAAATTTTGTTTCCTTTGAACTCTTTGAATCATACTCTTCATAAAAACAATAAATATTAACATTAGACAGAAGTTTATTGCAAACAAATAATATGTATTATACAACCAGACTTCATACATAGAATTCAAATATAAAAATCATATAAATGAGTCCACATAATTGATAGAGTACAATTATTAACGAGCATCAATAGTTTCAATAAAAGCAATCTCTTCTTTTAAGGGAAAAAAATTATTTTGACCAGATGATCGAACAAAGTGATGACAATTTTGCGTCTCAAGGTTTTCTTCCATATTCTCTTGAAAAGTGGTTTGAAAATAGAAAATATTATGAGCTCCTTAATAGACAATATGTTCTGAGTGATGTTTTGCTTCAAAATAAAGAAGTTGACAAAAAAATAGAACACAAAAGAAAATAATAGATTTGGAACGGAGAATTTCAACCAGTCAAGCTCACAAATATTTATGACCATGCTACGATCTAGATTTTGAAACCCTCATAAAAAAATGGAACAAAAAAATATCAATTACAACTAACTGAATGTAGGAATATTTAACTTTGTTACACCTTCTTCTCATGCAAATAGATTATAAGATTTTAGTGTCTATCTAATAGCTAGTTCCTACAAAGAGAAAGCAACAAAACTATTTTGCTATTAGTAAAACATCAGTCTGTATAAAGTAAACAAGTGCATGGGTGTAAAATATATTTTTTAAAAATAACATAAAATATCTATAAATTTAAACAGTCAACGTACAAAAATCACAATTGAAAGTGAATTTTATTTTTTACTTTTCCAAATGAAAATAAATGTAAGAGATTTGGTACTAGCCATGCACATAGACACACTTACCAAAGAAATGATCGTCATCTTTAAAGAACAAAGATACATAAAGTTCAAAGACATTCATAGTATAGTACCAAGAAGTACTTGAGATAAATTACCATGATATGAACACACAAAATTGTTTTGTATCTATACCATAGCAGGTTGTGTAAAGCTACAAATTCCAAACGGTCTGTAACTTTGCTAACAAGAAATTAGTACTTAAGCAATGTTTTTCCCTTTTTTATTTTATTTTTGGTATAAGCAATGTTTCCCCTCCTCCTCCTCCTCCTCCTCCTCCTCATCATCATTATTATTATAAGGACTGGATAATCAAGCCACAAAAATCTTGCAAATCAACGGACAAGCTATTGGGAATCTACTTATACATGCACAGCAAAAAATTAAAATTATTTCAATTTCCACCGAGGATCCCTTTGTGTTTAGATAGAAATCGTGATAAAGATTGTACCTTTGAAGAATTCTGCAACCTGTTGCTTTTCTTTTTATTCCAGCAATCTTAATTCGCTACCCATAGCTGTCCAATTATTCAGCCTCCAATGGTGATCCACACAGAAAATAAGATTGCAGCTATCAGAGTTTTCTCCTCTTGTGCTAGCAAGAATAATTATGAGAAAAACGATGTGAATTGAAAACCCTAGCCATGTATTTATATAAGCCCAAATAGGCTTGGCCCCGTCTGGTCCAATATTTAATTAATCCATTTAATTAAATTTGGTCCGTAAATTAATTAATCAAATTAATTAATTCGGGCCTATAAATAACCAACCCAATTAATTAATTCATCCAACGATTGTTAAATTAATTAATTGACGCATTACAATCTTTCAATTCTCTTTTGTGTGCGACCCATCAGGTTCCCGATCATGATGTCTAACGACGTGAAATATTATTTT